AAAATTTTGCCTCACCTCAAGTGCAGAACAAGAAAAAACCACATAAAACACCATAAAGCTACTTAATACCGCTAAATTTATGTCTTGTTAACATATGCATTGTATATTTTAAGTAAACGACGGAGCTCAACTGAAACCTTAAAAGCTTCGCCAAACAGTCTATTTTTCATATACGCTTTCATGTTCGCCCACGTAATTACATAAGTTGTCACTCGATTGGCTTAAGGTGGGTTTATTTAGTACTTTGTTATGCTAATTCGCTATAGCAGAGAATAAAATGCAAAATGCAACCACGCTTAAACCAATTTTCTTTAGCTTTAATTTACATATTGTTCTTAAGGGTTTTTTAGCCTTTTTAATTTTATGGCGGTTATGTATATGTATGTATGTATTTTTACCGATGGAAATATTAAAATTATATTTAAGGTGTTTAACATTAAAATTTGCTGTTCATTAGTTTTTGGCATTCATTATTCATTTAGTTGACAAACAGTTTATTGAAAGTAACGTGCTTAATAAGATTTAAAAAAAAAAGTATAACAATTTTTGTTAAGTAAGGTTGGGTTNCACAGTTTATTGAAAGTAACATGCTTACATAATTAAGATTTAAAAAAAAAAGTATAACAATTTTTGTTAAGTAAGGTTGGGTTAGGTGCGGATAGGATAGGACAAGAAAGGGCAATGAGAGATACAATTCTGTAGATTTTAAAAACAATAAAGCTTTTTTGGTTTACAAGGGTGAATAGGTATTGAAAATCGCTTTTAATAAATTTTATATTTTTAATTTAATAAAAGTTTGCAGGAGGAATTTCGATGATGAGGTTGTACATGTATTAGTCTCCGAAAAATAATTTAAAAAAAATGCAAATTTTCAAGGATATTTAAGGACATAATTTTCAAAGGACATTTTCCATACCTATTCGTCCTTGTGTACCAAAAAATTTACTCTGTTATAATTCTACAGAATTTTTTATTTATATGATACCCATATTGTTATCCTACATTTCACTGAAATTTTTAAATAATTTTTTGAAATAATAATATTTTTTAAATTTCAAAGTGCTTTAAAAAAAATTCTGACGTCAGAGAGAAAAACTACGTACGCAGTTTTACTATAATTTACCCATAGTTTCGTGAATATATTCATTTTTTTTCTGTGCAAAATTTACTGTCGCACGGTGTAACTAATTACTTAAAAAAATAATAAAAATAATAATTAATTAATTAATTTTATAATACATGATTATTTCGTTATTTTTTGATTATTTTCAATTTGTCTTGAATTTTTTTAATTACACGATTAATATAATTATTTTCGAATATTTTGGATTTCTACGAAATTCTTGCTGAAAGTATTCATCAATAGCGAAAACAGCTGACGATGTCTGTAAGAAATCATTCCTTATTTGTAAACTACAGTACAAGTATTTACTCGTACAGTGAATTTGGTTTTAGTTATTTAATACAAACTTATAAAAATATGCCTGCAAAACACAGCTTCATCTATTTGGAAAAATAATCATATAATTAGAAATAATCAAATAAGTAAAACAATCAAATAATTAAAAACAATCAAATATTAAAAAAAATTATTAATTTCGATTATTTGATTATTCCTTTGATTATTTTGGATTATTTGGCTATTTTCGAATATTTTTTAATGGCATTTAATCATGATTATTTTTGGTTATTTTTAATTATAATTTATTATTAATTACTTGGTTATCTAGGAAAATTAAAAAAATCATTAAGATTAAAAAATGCAAAAATTTAATGACTACCAATCGTAATGGAATTTAACAGCTCTGATTTAGATATCTAGACAAAGAAAGGATCCTACGTTTTAAGTGGTTTTCGTTTAGTTCTCTGGCTTAATTTCGTTTCTCTGTGGCCATGAAAATCAATTTAATTTTTGCTATTCTACATTTTTTAATCGTATTTTTAGCGTTTTTTACTCCATTTTTTTATTTATTTATATTATTTCACTTTACTTTACTTTACTTTACATTTTCGCCATTAATTTATTTTACCTCAAAAATTTAATNATATTTATATTATTTCACTTTACTTTACATTTTCGCCATTAATTTATTTTACCTCAAAAATTTAATCAAAATCAAACCACCTCTATCACCTGACTGCAAACGCCATTTTTTTAATTTTTTCTACAGAAGTACAGAAAGTAATAATAAAAAACCTCCTCAACCATTATCAGGGTTATCGTACACAATAACCGCAACAAGTTTACCTTCCTCGTTTTCTGTTTCTTTTTTCCGTTTTTATTTTTCTCCACTATCAATCTCTTGTCCCGCTATACATAGATAGGTAACTATTTATATGTATGTAAGTATGTACTATTCGGTCAAAGCTAATTAAAAGTTAAATAATGTACAACTACAAAGACAACAACTTCTTTTAATATACAAAAACAAAAAAGTAACAAAAGTAAACGACGGAAATGAGCAAATGGACACGGATAACTAACTGTTGATTGCTTGTGAGATGAGCTGTGTTAAGTTAGTATACAATTTAGTGGGCTTTATGTACGTATGTATTTAGGTTAGGTGCGTGGATAAAAACATGTAAATAGGTAGAAGGTATTGTGTAGCGCACTCAGGTCAGCAGCTTTTAAAGGTCATGGTAAGCCGTAAACATATTGTTTGACAAAGTGCGGCTTCCTGGTTTTATGTGTAGTAGTAGAAGATTTAAACTTTGAAACAATGCAATGAGTGGGCTTTGGGCGTCAGGTTAATTTGTTGGTAAAGCGATGAGGGTGCTTGTTTAATGGAGAATTTGTAGAAAAGGAAGCGTGCAAAAAATTATGGTAATATGGAAGACTTAAAAGCAATACGGTGGGGGTGGGCGAAAATATTTTGATTGGTAACAGCAGCATTTGCTAAGGAAGAAATGTAGAAAAAAAAACTTGGGTGGTGATTGTATTTCTTTTCGAGCACGGAAAGACAGCCAAATACTTCAAAGCTGCATACTCAAGTAGAATACGTACTTAAATAATCCTGAAAAATAAATAAATAAATACATAACCACGAGAGAGAGGAGCGAGTGAGAGAAAAATGTTTAGGGCTGAATGTGCATAATAAATTTTTAAAGAAATTTTTGTACTTTTTTTGTCGTAAGAGGCGCATAAGAATGCACTTAAATATGAGCTGCATAAAGTTTAATGTTAAATTAATATTAAAAAATGTCTAAAGAAAAGTTTGAATCAGGAAATTTCAGTGAGTAAGAACATGCTTTATTTTGTAATTAAGTAAAATAGTTCAAGAAATTAAATTTGTTTAGTAAAATGTTTGCGTCTAAAAAAATACATTCGCGCACCGAAAATATGTTTACAAAAATGTCTTAGTACGGACGAATTTTCTGAAAAGCAGCAAGGAGTACAATAATTACATATATGATCTTCCTAATACATTTTAAATTGGAAAAGTTTTGAAAGTGGCGAATAAGGAAACTTGAGAAAAAATTTTTTGCCAAGAGAAAATTTTTTTCCGACGCATTTTTATTTTATTTTATTTCTATTATATATTTTATGTTATTTCAATTTGCCGTTTTGCCACGTCATCAATAAAAATTAGCTAGGGATTAGGTGTCTTTTAGGTGTTAATTAGGGCCTCCAAAATTAATTTAGGTGTTCAATTGGTTTCCGAGAAATTCCAGCGACTAAATCTTGACTCCCTGGACACATTCCCTAAGCCGCTTTTCTAGGTTAGCTCGAATAAGCGAGATATTTGCGAAATAGTTTTTTTAATAAATCTTATTACATTAAATTAGCTAAAATTTCCCGGGAGGACAGTGTTATTAATTTTATGATAAATTGTGAGAGTTCGAATAAAATCAAATATTTCAACTCGATGCCATAACGGTAAATATATTTTTCCCAAAAATCATCGCAGTGCTGAAATTGTCGTAAGTTATCACCAACTAAATACATGTGTATTAATTTAAAATTTTCCAATTTTTATAATTTTTTCTACAAAATTCTTTGTATTATAAAATATAAAGTTTTCAAAACTACTGGCCAGCAGCTCTCGAAAGCTGAATGTTTCACATGAATACCACCAAAAAGCGAATTAAATTTTTGATTTTTCCGCATCCGAGTTTAAGGTTAGGTGCTAAATTTTTAAGGTTAGGTTTGACTTTAGGGAGTCGCGGTTGGTCGAAATCCTATCAAATTTTTTATATTTTTTTTTTTTGTTTAAATTTTATTGAATGTCTGTGATCAATTCGAAGAGCTTAAACATATTTTAATAAGGCCAAATTTGCAAACGCCAAACAGGCATACATACATATATATATGTATGTTAAGTACATATGTATTTAATTAACGAAGTTTTAATTTTTGAAAAGTTGCGGCTTGTCGAATGAGAAAATTTGTAAATATGGAGCACACCCGGTTAATTATTTCATTAAATACGTACACAGAATTTTAAAATTTTAATTTGTATAAAAAAAAAAAATCATTTTCATCATATTTCAAAATTTGTACTAAAAACACACAATTTTTATTTTTATATTTTTAACTCATATTCTTATTTCGGAAAAAAAATCAAATTCGAAAAGATCGGCAATCGAAAGATCAATATTTTTTCAGACCTACCTTCAAAAAATTCTATGTAGATATGTATGTATTTCCATTTAGTAATTAAATGTTTAATTTTTTGTACCAAAATCTCTAATCTTAATTTCTGGTTTTTAAACTCTACATTTTTTTAACTTAATTTGAGAAATTTTTTTTTCAACATAAAATTCCATAAAAAAAAATCGGAAACTACATACTTACATATGTATCTTCACCTTAATATTCCGCGAAAATTATTTTTAAAATTCTTCACATCAAAATACGTTTAATTTAAGATTAAAAAAAAATGGTTTTAATAATTTTTTTTATTTTTTGTTTTTATTTAATAATTCCTTATAACTCACTAGTTAAATAACATTGTTCATGTACATAGTATGTACATAGGTATGTATGGAGACGCACTTACCTAGCTTAAAAATTTTGATTTATATGTAAGTTGCGTTTTTTTTTAATTTTATTTTTTTTAATTCAAGTTAAATCTGTGTACTAACTTTTTAGTTCACAATTTTCACTTTTCACACAGCTATCGTCCCGTGCTCAGTAAGTTCACGCAATGCATGTATGTGCATATGTATGTTATTATTTATTTATGCCAACAAGAAAATCCATTTGCATAGTTAACGGTTTGCAACTTTTTCATAGTATTTATGATTATGCGTATGCATCTGGAACGAGCGAATTAATTACAACACGCACCGTTAGCCACCAATCACTTGACAGGGAAAAGCCAAAGCAAAAAATATAAATGCAATTTCAATAAGAACGCCCACTTACAAGTAGTCCTAAATACATATGTATGTATGTAAATATATGTATGCCTGTGGTCGCACCGACTTTACTTGGAAGGGAGAGCCTTTCGCACTGTTTACATTTAAGGAGCTGCAGTGAGAAAAAAGTAAAGAAATCGTTTTTCGACAACACTTTGATTGCAACACGCGGCGAACATTGACACAATTATGGTTTTGTGCCCTGCTCTTTTTTTTTGCCTTTTTCTCCTTTGTCTAACACACTTTGATGCTATTTTTTTATTTTAAATTACTGAATCGCTGCGTTGCCTTCAGCAATGCGTCCGAATTCGCTGTTGGTTACCGAAGAACTGAAACGAATATTTTTCTGCTAAACGAATTTGGCACAAAGCAGGAGCAGCGGCAGCAGTAGGATGCTGTAAATGAGCGCGAAGTTACTCATACGCCGTGTCAGAGAGTTGGAACGGCGTTGCCATTCGATTTGAATTATCAACTTAACTAGAGGCTCAATTAAGTTATCGATAACACGAAAATTGATTGTTAAAAAATACTGAAATAAAAAATTTAAATTGTTTTGAATTAAATATGCAAAAACAGACATGTTATAAAATCTAAGATAAGTAGAAAGATAAAAAAAAACTTCCGTAAGATACAAAAAAAAATCCTGAAATTTAATAGCAAAAGCTTAATGTTATCTTTTGGAAAAACGTCCATGCCGATAACTTTAAAATTCTACTTATGACCAGTTAATAGTAGAGATGGTAGTTTTTAAGTTTTTACTATTTTACGTTTACTAATACTTTTTTGCGTTTAGTTCTAAAGCTAAAAGCTATTGAAATGTAGCTTTTTCATACAGTTATCATTCGAAATAGCAAAGTAATGAGTATTCGCATGGAGGTTTATATTGTTGCCACGTAGCGGGCCACTCCGACTGGGCTGGAATAGAGGGAGAGGGGCGTTGGTTGAGTGGGATTTCGTGGGCATGCGAAGGGGTGTATCATACTCAGGTAGGAGGTATATGGTTGATTTTGATTTGAGTTGCTTGAATTTTTACAAATTTATTTAATTTACTAAATTTATTATGCACTTGAATTTGTTGTTGTTGTAGCGGCTACCTAGCCCTGCCTATATCGGCTTGTCTTTCAATCGTTGTCGTCAGGCTCAACTAATAGGAGACCCAGGAAGTGTGCCACTCCAACTGGGTCTATAGGAAGAGAGGCGTTCTGCCTCTTCGGATGCGGTGCACTCATTGGGCATATCTGCATTTATTTATCCTACCCAGGTAGAAGTTTAACCTGCTGCAGTAGCCAGAGCGAAGTTGGACTATGGTGGTGCGAGTCTTCCGAGGCACAGGACGAAGCTCTGCGGCAATCAGAGATCTGTTCGAGTGCCCATGTCTGCGGCATGCTACTAAGAACTGCTTACAAAGCATCGTGTTGTGCTTCTTGACAGGGAGCATTTGAGCCACGCCATGTAGGTGGGGCTGTAGCTTCGTCCACTGCGTCCTGCTGGTCCCCCGATGACCACACGGGCCTGCCAGTTGCCATGTGTCTTTATATTTGAGCACCTTACAGCCGCTCTGTACCCTACTGCGGTTGTATGCGCCGAGAAGGAGTGCAGACTATCGATGTTTACTTCGGCTTATTCCCCGTCGGAATTGGTTCACCATAGACATGAATTCCCCGCTGTAGTCTGATCTCCTTCGTCCAGGTGGTAAAAAAAGGTTGCCGAAAATTTCGTAAATAAGAGGGTTGAGCTCCTTGCAGTGAAGAAGCGAGAAATTTTGGAGAGGTAACCGTTTACTTTCGAACAGATCCCATACTTCAGCATAAGAGATAATAGAGACTCCCTCCGGTGATTGAGGAAGCTTTGAGATATAATAATTAAACAGAAGTGAGGAAAGGACACACCCTTTAGGACTCTGTTTAATTTTCCTTGACGAATGTCGACCTTTCAGATAATTCGCTGACCACCGTTTGAGTTCCTGCGGGCAAGAAGGAGCCTCAATGCCTCCTAGTACCATGGAGATGTTGACGGTGTCAAACGCCTTTGACAGATTCAATGCTAGTAGCACTGTTCTGTCATAGGGGCGGTTTCGGTTCAGGCCGCGAGTTTCTGGGTCTTTATGGCATTAACTCCTGTTGTTGCAATCTGTACTTTACGGAATCCCTGCTGATGCCTCGCTGGGGTCAGAAGATAAGTCTTCCTTTTGTTGGCCGGTATGACAATTCTCCCCGCCTTTCAAATATCAGGAGCGACGACCACGGATAGATTGTGATAATCCTCTCCCGCAGGGCCCAATTTTTTCAGCATCAGCATGCACATTCTGTCGTGCTTTATCCATCGAAGGATGCAGCGTGAACTGTCGGCTAAAATAGCTCTTGCATCGCTCATGAGACGCTCCTCCCACTTCTTCCGTTTATGGTACTTTAATAGTTGCTGAATTCCGTGTTGAGATCCCCAATGCGGGGATTTTCGCGATCGACCTGGCGCAGGTTGTCACGCTCATCAGCTGGAAAGTTCGGAAAGGTGTCCGAAATGCATGCAGCGGAAATGAATCGGGCAGATTTATCGATCGAGATGACTATGGGAAGATGGTCTGATGCTAGAGTCGGCATAGGTCGCCACGTTATGCTGTTTATCAGACCAGCGCTTACAATTGTTAAGTCAGGCGAGCTATTGCAGCTGCCCATATCCTGGTGGGTGCGTCGTCGTTCATCGTGCAGAATGTCGAATTATTTATCTGCTCTGCCAAGTGTATTCGCCAATGATCATTCGACTGAATTGAATGCCAAAGATATCGTGGTGCGCGTTGAAGTCATCAACTATCAGTCGGTTTTCACTTTTGAGGGGCGCACCTATATTAGGGTAATATCCTGCCGGGAAGCTAGTGTCAGGGGTGTATATGTACTCTGACATTCTGGGATGGTACCCCTGCTAAGCCACCACCATTATCTCGCTGGCGATCTCCACGCAGCTCCACAATGTTGAGTTGCTATGCAACTTCGTCTGTTGGAGAGCAGCTTTCAATATTCCATGTCGACCCATGAAAACGGTTATTTCCTCAATCTCGCTCTGTAGTCTGTTACAGTTAAACTGTAGTATCTTTATGTGCCTTAGGAGACTAATAGGAGTGTAAGTTATTTGTGGTGATGTCTGCCGGCCATTTGTTGTATGTGATTCCATTTGGGGGTTGCTGCTTTGTGGGGGTACGAAGTTGCTCGTCCATTTTCGCGTGGTGCGCAGTTCTGAACTTTACGGTATATCCCGAACTGACACGGCGAGTATATTGTGCGAGGAACTAGGAGCTGTTGGTGGTGGCGTGTAGGTGGGGGTATGGTTGTGTCTGGGCTATGGCTGTGTTGTTTTTTTTTGTGGTCGTGTTGCGCATGTATTGCTCAGATGAACTCTGGTGTGCATTCGGTTTAAACAACATGGGGTCACAAATGCCGAGGTCCACTTCCAGTGAGTTCTAAGCTCAGAGAAGGTTCTAAGGTGAATCCACCCATTTCAGGTATTGCACCTGATTGAGGTGGAGTTTGGGTGCAATCGTCTCTGGCATACGCAGGAGGTGAAGGTTTCCAGTCCAGGTTACCGGTCCAGGATTTGACTCGATGCCAGCTCTGAGCAGAAGAATGCGTAGAAGATGTTGCCAAATGGACAAACAACGTTTAAAAGATTTTGCCGACCTAAACAGGGNCCATCGATGCCAGCTCTGAGCAGAAGAATGCGTAGAAGATATTGCCAAATGGACAAACAACGTTTAAAAGATTTTGCCGACCTAAACAGGGTTTGATTGCCGAAATGCACTTGAAGTATTTTCCTTTGATGCTTTCACACTCTGATCTCGCCCCCATTCAGCCGGATGTTTCCACTTACGATGTGCATGTAAATTGGAAGCGCATTTAAAGGGCTTATCACAATAGTTGCAGCGGTATAGATACTCGCCCGTATGGGTTGCCATGTGCTCCTATGAAGTTTGAAGAAAAATTAAACCTTTTAAAAATTAAAATCCTTTTAAAATCCCCTCACCCTCAGTCGCCTTGCAGTTTTGAAAATTCGCGCGCATATACTGCAAGCATGCTGGCGCTGCTGCTGCTGACTCCCATGGCACAAGCGCTTGTGGGCATTTAATGTAACGCGCGTGGGCATTTCCTTACCACACAGATCACACGCGTTGACGTCTTCATGTTTACGCACATGTCGCTGCAGAAAGCGCACCTTAGCAAATCGCACGCCACAAGTCGTGCACTGAAGTGGTGACTCTGCGGGCTTCTGATGCTTCAAAAGTAGATGATTGCGCAGACATAGCCGATCTGCGAAGTGCGAGCCGCAGCTGGAACAGCTGTAATACAAGCTATTTTGTTTGTAATTTTATAGCTTGTAGCCAATACTTACGAAAAGTAAGCGGCATTGCGGTGCACATTTATGTGATCTATTAAAATTCCAAGCTTATACAGCCGCTTTCCACAGCAAACTACATAACCGTTGCTATTATGTATCGCCTTGAAATGATCTTTCAATGCTTTAAAGTTGTCTGCCTCGAATTTGCACAGCTCGCAGAAGAGCTGCATGTGACTAGCAATCAATTGGTCATCTGCTGCTTGACTTGCGGCATCTGATGAGTAAAAAAAAATTAAAACTCGTATACGAAATTCCTAAACGTACATAAATACGCACCGCTTCGTCGTGGGCGTCCCAGTTTTCGTGTGCTGAGCGAAATTGAATGGTTTTCTTCATTGGCTAATTTCTTAACGCACCTTTGCGGCGATTCTGTTTGATTGGAAATCGCTTCTGCTTGTATTTTATTTGATGTTGTGTTTGTTTCATTATTCTGTAATAAGAGCAATTCCACTCTATCATTCCTATCTTGCTTGTGCTGCAAATAAAATTCCTCTGAGCACATTTCTTGTTCCTCCATGGCCAGGCATTCCACTGAAGTAGCAATATTGGCATCTGCTTCAGAACATATTGGCTTCTCTGGTATTGCTGCTACGTAAGTTCCCCTTTCTCCAGCGGTGACATCCATACAATCAAAATCATACTCTGACTTCCTAGGCGTCTTCAGATTTATACCGTCATTTTCCCTCCGGTATCTCTGCTCACTCACTATGCTACTGTTCGCACTTCCTATGGCTTCAGATTCATTTGTCCGCTCTAGATTTGCATTTAATGACTCCAAGCAGGCTTTCGCATCTTTTTTCGTTGCTGTTACTCCCTCAGCACTTTCAAATATGTCTTCTTCCTGTGTGACCAATTCCCTGCTCCATGCATATTGCGATTGCCTTTCGGCCACCAACAAACAAAACTTTCTGAAGCTATCTACGCTAGACCAGCAGCTGACGCAAATGCAATCTTCACTAGTAAGCTAAAAGTGGATTTTTGAATAAGAAATAGTATTCTAATCAGCAGTGAATATCTGCCACTCACCTCCACCCGAGTATATTTCTCCACTGTGCTTAAAATATCAGTGGAAACATTGCCACTTTCATCACGCAACGGAATGAAGATTTGCGCTTGAAATAAACACAAGCGGCAATACATTTTTGAGCACAATAACTTAACAAACAACCTCACAAGATGACAATAAATCGCTATAAAATAAACCGGCTATTCGTTTGCTTGTCAGCTGTGCCGTGCAACCCTACCGATCCTTCAGCAGCTGTTCCATGCCGTCTGGTATGCAAATAAACAATAAACAGCTGTTAAGTGAGCAACGCAGCAGGAGCAGCAGTTCTTAGGATGTTCCGCAATATCGTGATTGGCATATCCGGTGGCGTCGATAGCGCCATTTCGGCGCTTTTACTAAAACAAAGAGGTTGGTTTGCAGCTAATGACCGCAAATTTCTTATGTTTTACTAGTATCTAGTTTTAAAATTTATGAAAAAGGCTACAATGTGTTGGGCGTATTTATGAAAAACTGGGATGAATTTGATGAACTGGGCGCTTGCAGCGGTGAGCAGGATTACCGTGATGCGGAATACACCTGCCAAAAGTTGGGCATTGAACTGCGTGTCGTAAATTATGTAAAAGACTATTGGAATTCGGTGTTCAGGTGAGACAGTTGCGCAACTCGATAAATTTCAGTTGTTATCCAAGTACCCTCTTTGTATCACAATAGCTCTTTTCTGGATGATTATCAAAATGGTCTGACCCCAAATCCGGATATACTTTGTAATAAATACATCAAATTTGATTTATTCTACAAGTATGCCAGGGAGCAACTAAAATGCGATGCCATTGCTACTGGTCATTATGCGAAAACAAGTTTTGGCAACTTTTTAGAGCAATATAATGCGAATGATGGTATGTTAAAGCAGCAAATGCGTTACAAGCGCACGTAAATTCACAGATTTCTCAAATTAACAGACGTGCATCTCCTTATACCTTGTGATAAATTCAAAGATCAAACTTTTTTCCTCTCCGGCATACAACGACATGCGCTCAGTCGCACCATGTTTCCGCTGGGCGATTCACTGAAAAGCGATGTGAAAGTTTTGGCGATTAAGTGTGGGCTGGCACGCTTGGCGCGCAAGAAGGAGAGTACCGGTATTTGTTTTGTGGGAAATCGTGATTTTAAGGAGTTCATAAAGGAGGTAGTTGGGTGACTCGCAGTTAATTTTTTCTAATATAATATAAAAAAAAAATCTCGTAGTATATACACCCACGCCCTGGTCATTTCGTAGACATCGATACCGGCCAAATTGTGGGCACACACAATGGCATACATGAGTGGACCATTGGACAACGTTGTCGTTTGGCCTCTTGCCTGCGACCCTACTTTGTGGCACAAAAAGACGTGGCCAGTAATACTATTTATGTGGCTTCGGGACACGAGCATCCAGCGCTGCTTAACGATGTTATTTGCGCGAGCGCGCCGAACTGGCTGTGCGATGATCCACTAAATGTTGTTGGAGAAGCAGCTAATGCCAGTGTGACACGTGAGCTACGTTGTCGTTTTCGCTTTCAACACACAAAACCGTTGGTGGATTGTGTGGTCAAAAAGTGCGCCAATAATAAGGCCCGCGTGACAATCACTTTAGATAAGCCATTACGAGCGCTTACGCCGGGTCAATACGCAGTGTTTTATAGTGAAACGGTTTGCTTGGGTTCGGCGCGTATAATTAGTGCGTGGAGGGGGGAAAGAGATGTAGCTCAATTGGCAGAGTTGCATGTAAAAACTGAACTGTTGGAACATAGTTGACGATTAGATTTAAGTTAGAATAAGTATTACCAGTTCTTAACCAAGTGGGTTATATTTTTCCAAAAAATTTTTCATTTGTTAAACCATCATGAAATTAATAAAATTGTAGTTTAAAAAACTAAAACCTCGCTATTATAATATCCATTCGTACAGTCATCAGGTATGTAAATTGAGAATAGAAAGCGCTGCATCTTTTAGGCGCATCAATATTACATAGCTACATCCCGAGCTAATAAAAGGGAGGTAATAAAAAGCTTTGTGTTTGTCTGTACTGGAAATTAGTCCTTTTAATATCATATCAGTTAGCTACATTAATGGGCTTGTTTGCGTTATTATATTATGGAAATTTTAAAGACCGTTTGCTAACATATGTTAATATTTTGGTTTCATCTGTGTTCATTTTCGTCGTTCTCATTTCTCATTATTTAATTACAAAGTCAATGTTGCGCCTGGTGCTGACAAATATTACCAAATATATATATATCTAAAATTAACAATCTTATCAAGTCATAACGGTTAAATAATGCTTACATATCTTAAAATTAAAACATCTATATATATATAGCTTCAAATTTACGTAATTCCCTATAACTAATACTAACAGGCCAATTATTCATACTCCCGGGGAGTTTGTTCTCTGGGAATTTGTTTCCGTGACTTTAATATAAAAAATCCTCTGGGAATTTTTATTCATGAAAGGAGGAAAGGGAAAAGAGAGTAAAACTCCCGGGGAGTTTCGGTTCAAAGTCGGCCTGTAAATGATTTTTAATTAAGCCAAGAGCACAGTGAGCGCATCCAAAAACTTAGCCATATCATTTTGCCTTATCTGTATCAGCGATGTTTCGAAAAAATCTTGCAAAATCACTGCATTACATTTACTAGCTGCCTGCTCGAACGCCTTGCCGAAAAAATTTTTGGGCGAGTCTTCACGTACTGGCGGTATACCGACCAACAAACACAGTCCGCGCTCCACATCCACCGGACAACTAGCGATGAGCGGTAGCTCCGGTGCCTGTCGACTGCGTGACATTGCCACGTGACCATTCAAGATAAACTTTGCCAGCAAAATTAAACCATACGGATAGGAGAAGTATATATTTTCTTCATTTAAAATGTAATAGAAGAATGTGCCTGTTGAAAGCACCTGATGTGCCTCCAAGCTGCTTTGTACTTGTTTAAAAATGGACGAAAGTAATAGCTTGGCATTCTCAATGCCTTCCAGCATAATGTCACGATGACTACGTGATAAGCTATCTAAGGCTTCTAAGAAGCAATCCTCTGGCGTTTTATCCTTTTTCACTGATTCTAAGATCGCTAGCATGCCGTAGACATAATCTGCAGCTGCATACCGATTACGATAGCCATAATTCAATGTAAAAGAGCCATACACTATGTCCGGAATGCCATACTTTTCGGCCAGCTTCTCCAACATTTTGTAGAACTCTTGCCTCAGCCCCAAGTCCATTGAGCCGAACACCTGCCTCGCTTGTACCAGCGGCAGTCCCATTTCAACAAGCAACTCATGTAAACGCTTCTCACCACGCAATGTCCATAATCTCAACTTGCATGCGCAATACATCGAGTAGCTAGAAGAAAAGAATAATTTGCGATTTCCAAAAAGAAAATACAATAAAAATTGTTTCACGTACCGCATCGACTCCACCACGCTCCAGTGGCGATATAACACCAAATGCAGATCATTTTCAAAATTGATCTTGGCCGCGCTCATATTGCTTTGATCATTGGTTTTGTTAGTCAAACGCGACACATGCGACTGCACATTTTCAATTTCGAGCGTATAAGTGCTACTCTCGATTTTGCCTAAAATTAGTTGCTCGGTAAGGCCCACAATGGACCACCACAACAAATCCATATTATCCTTAGACAACTTCCATGCCAATTCGAATATGGTTACCGCTGTGGAACGGCCATAGTAACTGTATTGCGTGTATTCGAACATGATGCGATCGCGTTCATTCTCCCATGTGCGGCGTTGCCGTTGCTTCATAACACGCTGCTCATGGCGCTCAAGGCGTGTCAGTTTCTGCGCAGGTGGCTTGTCAACTTTCTCGCTATCTTCATCATCGGAACCGCCAGCGCCGCTATCGTTGCCATCACCATCGTCTTCTGGCTCACTGTCCGAGTCATCATCAGACTCACAAAAAATAGACTCGAATGCAGGTATATTCTCTTCCAAAGCGGGATCGCCCAAGATGCATACCTACGGGGGACAAACGTATTTTCCTACAATATCAAAGTTAAAAATCGAACATTTCGAAACTTACCTGTCGATCACTGTAAATATTACACACATCTAAAGGACGGTGCGCATCACAAATGAAAAACGTTACATCCTCTTCGGGTTGAAGCAATTCGACGATGTCCACGCAACCGCCACAATTAACAAGCAATACAAATTTTACATCGCCCTGGTGTTCATTGTAGGCGCGTTGCAGGCCAGCCAAGCCCATTATGGGCACTACCGAATACAGCATGTGGTCATACTTGAAGAGGGACTGCAGAATCTTGCTAGCGCATATCGCATCTATATCATAGTTTACAATTATAAGAAGGCGCTTGCCCACTAGTCGATTGTAGAATTCTTGCCTAAGGTCTTGTATAAACATTGCGAATAGTTTTATTTGTGTACACTATCTCGTATTTTTTTATATTAAAATCTGTTGTGCTTTGCCAGCTGCTCGCGATCAGCACTTTGGGCACAACATAATGCGCCGATTTAAGCCTTTATCTGCTTGCATTTGAGTGTTCCTCCAAATTTGTTGCCTAATTGGATATTAATATGTAGTTTAAATGTATTATTTTCTTTAAATCGTTGCATTAACACAAAAAATGAAGTGTACAAAATCTTTGCTGATCGTCCTGTTCACTTTTCCATGTTGTTTTAAAAAGCGGGAAATTTTTATTCGTGGGGTGTGTTCAGTGCGTATAAGTGGTTGAGCAGAGTTGCTTCGTGAGAAGTCGAATTCTGCAAAAACAAAATAAAAAACTAGCCAAAAAAGGAAAGCGTTAAAATAAAAATTACAAATATAACAGAAAACTTAAATGATTGCGGTGATTCGACACTTTCATGATGTCAACTCAAACTTTTGCAACAAAAGCACATAGCGATATCACCATCCGCTATATGACGGCCGATAGATTTACTCCAATCCAAAAATCTTGACGCATTTTCACTAAAATCTTCGGAAGTCGTTTCTGGCTACTTCTCTTATTTCAGGAACTAACACTTAGAGCTTTTGATCTCCCTTCAGCCTTATCGGAAATTTTAATCGCTTGCAATTATTGGTTTTGTTTCTATTGCTTTATTTTTTTAATTTTTAACTTCCAATTTTTAAAGTATTAGAGCTGATATTCGCTTAATTCTAATAGGTATACATGTCACATTGTTAGTATTAAAACCTATTACTAAATTCTATTTGAAGAACCTCTAATTTTAAACAAATTAATTTCGCCTCCCTTACTACAACTCCTCAAAGAAAGCCACACGTGCCTTGGTTGAGCCCGATTTCAATTTCTTCAACGTTGAGTATTTCGTTTCTCCCGCTTTGATGAGTGCATCACTTAGTATATCTAAATTACTTTGATTTTCTTCGATTTTCAACAGCTCAATTTGTGAACGCAACGTTTGTAATTGATTTTCCATTTGTTTGGATTTCTTCAAATATTCAAGTCGACTATTTGTGATCTGCTCCATTTCTGCATCGGTGAGTATGAACTCCTTTGTTTCGAAATCGTCGATAACATCGGATGAGGCGTCATTTGTATTGGCGGCAAGATTATGGTTTGATGTAGTCAGTTCAACACCGCCTGCCGTATCAATGTCTATGGTGGAGTTGCTGTTGGTCAACGAAGGTGTGCTGATGGCCGTGTTTGTAGCCGAAACGACCACATTATTCCCTGAGACGGCCACCAAGCTGTCGGTGGATGTTTTGCGACCATGATTGATGAAATTAAGTAGACGTGCGGTGGCTTCACGCTCTGCCAATTGTGCGCATTGCAGCTCCTTCTTCAATTTTTCCGCTTCTGCCTCACGCTTATCCTTTTCAAGCGTTAATTGGTGCACATAGAAGTCGGCATCGCGTATTTTCTTCTCCAAATCCATCTTTTCATGCTCGATCTTCATTTGTCGTTCACGTAGGCGATCCATCTCTGTTTTAAAGTGATGTGCTTTACATTCTGTCAATTGCATTTGTTCTTCATTCACGCGGCTCTTCTCAAAATAGAGTTCCTTGGTCTCTTCAGAACGCCGCTAATGGAATGTAGGTTTAAATGAATTAGGTTTTTACTTCGCAAATTGATTACAATTCATACTCACCAGCGCGTCACTAGCCATGCGCATTTCATTCTGCAAATGCTCATAACGATTTTGCAGCTCGTAGCGATCACGTTCCGCCTTTTCGCGCAACTTTTTCTCACGCAGAAATTTTGCGCGCTCCTGTTGGCGCCGCTGCTTCTCTTCCTTTGCTTGCGCCTTCATTTGCTGTATCTCCATAGTGTCCGGTTTGCGGCGACGCATGTACAAGTCATGATTTCCCTTACACAAATCTAAAATCTGGAACAAAGTTGTATTCAGAAAACTACTGATTTTTAATTAAACTCAAAACTCACCATTTTGTTGATATGCAAATCTTGTGAGTAGAAAATAAAGTTCGATACTTTCGTGTCTACTAGCCGAATTGTAAATTTTTTATCATCAAAGCTCACATGTCTTATCTCATTCCATTGGAACGTTGTACGCGGCGAAAGCTTATTATTTTCTTCATAAATATTCAGGCCGATAGCGGTCACACCCAGCCATAATTTGGTTTTATTTTTATTCTGTGAAAAGTAGAGAGATGTATTTGACATCATCTTAATTTCAAAACAGATAAGCTCGCCTTACAGTTATAGGAAAATAATTGACACCATACATATCTAAATCTTGTGCGATCTTCAAGTATTCCATTTCAACCTCATCACGTGTCATCGGCTCATGATCCATGTACCTAAAGATGAAGTGCCCTATTGAGTCAGGGTAATATTTAATGCACACAAAAAATCGTCTTACCAGGTCTTTATGCGTTCCTCCCACATTTCGGGCGTCATTTGATACTGGTCCGTCACCTTTTTTGGCAACAGATCTGCGCTCGCCAACATGCCATCTTTGTAAGTTTCATAATCGTATGGGCCATACTGAACGTGAACTGCATACGATGCCAGCAGTACCGATGCCTCCGGCCGACAATAAATATCCATTGACAGTATACTCTGCTTGACTTGTAGGAAAAACAAATGCTGCGTTATTTCTTGAATTAGCTCTTCGCTAACATTTTCCGGAAAGTACTTGGCATAGAAATTGAAAACGTAAAACCCATTCGATAGCAGTTGTATGCGCTGATCCTTTACTTTCTTGTCCATCTTCAGCCAGGAGACGTGCCCGCGTGCATCCACATACTGTAAGCCAAAGTACCATGACTCACGCAAACCTATTGTGCGGCACACCAAATCAAACAGCTCTTGACCAGTCTCACGATGCCCCAAATTGAATTCTAATTCTGAATCGAAGGTTACCACCTTCACTGGTAATGAACGATTTTTCTTCGAACGAAATGGGCTCATATTTGTGCAGACATTAGTGTATTATGTTTTTCTTTTGTTGTTGCTTTGCATTTGTTGGAACCTTGTTATTGTTTTGTTATTCTGCCAAAATTGGTGCCACACATTTATCCAAAAACAAAACAAAATAAAGCCATTTGGTTAAGATTTTTCACTAAAAATTCATCGCTTATATTGGCACTTGTTAAGGCACATTAAATCAGCTATTCGCCCGCTGTCCACCAGCCGTCAGACACTAATCACTTTTATGGTTTAATTATAGTTTGTATAATTTTCTTTTTATTATAAAAATTCATCTTTGTGTTACAGCGCGATCGCCAAATCTGCAAAATCAAAAATAAATGAAATGGAGAGTGAATGAGCGAACAGTCAAATAGCCCCAAATCGAAGCAACAATTTTTTGTTGCATGCATAAATGGAGCATAAAATAGAAGGCGCGCACTGAACGTACCGCTGTGTTTCAGGTGTTCACAAACAAAAAGAATTTATTGTTTTTCAAGAGCATTTTTACAAACAATTAGTATTTGGCTTTTATAATAACTTAAGCTCTTTTAATTTAGGCTTACAATTCGCGTAATTAAGGCTAACCTCTATTGTGGCAATTTAAAGCCTTAAATGGGGTTTTATATACACTCATTTGTTATGCTTATGCAGGAGTTTATGTATGTATGTGTGAAGGTGTGTGCCCAAAAACCTTACACATTGATGGTAGGGTAGCCAAAAATAACTTAGGGACTAAGTACATTATTGCATATATATGCTGTCTTACATGGTATACTTAGTTATTATTAAATTAGAAAATATATGCCTGTTGCGTTAGCTTTTATAAGCTTGCCTTTATGCACTGGTCGTACTCATATGCGCATTCCGTTCCGATTGTAACCTTTTCTTGGATTCTCGCTTATCGCTTTACACAACACATCGCTTAAGCCGTTCAAAGTGCAATTCATACAACAACTTATTTTTAATATAATAGAATGGATTCTCAGCCTCGTTCAGCTCGGGTGCATAAGGATGCTGTAAATGCATCTGATGTTGATGCCCAGCAGCGGACATATCATGCTTATTATGCAAATGCATATTTAAAGCTCTGTTATTTATGTGATTACTGTTGTATGCCTGTGCCAAATCAACTTGTTTGGTGGGGTCATTAAAATGTAGTTGTTGTATTGCCTGCTGGGGCTCGTCCAAATTTGTCAAATGCAGCTGATTGATCCGTTTGGACAATGGCGTTGAATCACAGATGTCATCTTCGCGACTTCTTTTTCTGCACAAAAGAGAATATTTAGCTGATTTTCGCTGCATCGTTTAAGTTTAGTTACCTTTTGTCGATTAAACCTGACATTTTGATGAAATTTTTTATATTCTCTTGAAATATCCGTATTTACGTTTTCTTTTTTGTCGAATTGCGAAACGGCGTATAATGGTGAATGGCGATTGGTTGTGTTCAGTGCGAACAATTGTGCTACAAAGGCTGTGTGCCAATCGGTTACTTTTTTTTCCGTGGTGAGACTGGGTGGAAAATTTGCTATGCTGTAGTACACATAAACTGAATTTTGCTGTGCCAAATGTAAAGTAAAATTTTGACAGTTGAAAAACCAAAGAAACGCTCGTGCGAAAGCTCTATTTTTGTGGGGAAATCTTTAGCTTTTTGTACAACGATTTAGGGGTGGGGGCGGAGGGGAGGGGCGTGGCTCCCCAAAAACCCCCCGCCCCCCTAAACGAAGAAGGATGGACGCCGCTTTATGAAAAGTCACCCCTCGTCCCCTTCTTCCACCTAAAGACCCCTTGGGAGCTGTTTGAAAACAGCGGAAATTTGGATTTTTTCCAAAACGATTATAACCCTCACTACTCCTTTCTCTGTTGCCCAAGAAGAGGGGCTGAACACCTTTTGCAGAGAGCACCTTTCTGTGTAGGCGGCCTTCGGCCGTACTTAGGGCTTATAACCCTCACAAAGTAGAATTCTCCTTTCTGTGTTGCCGAAGAAAAGGTGCTGAACAACTTTTGCAGAAAAAAACTTTCTGCGTAGGCGGCCTTCGGCTGCACTTAGGGATTATAACCCTAACTAAGTAGACTTCTCCTTTCCGTTTTGCTAAAGAAGAGGGGCTGAACACCTCTTGCAGAGATATTTCGTGGATATTTTTTTTTTTGACAACTCAGCTCGGAAACTTGCGAAAAATACCATATTTCCAACCGACATTATTAATAAATTAGTGCACAGATATAGTAAATTTAATTTTTGTAATATTTGCAAGAAGTAACGTACGCTTTTTTATGCTGTTTCAGCTTTCATTTTCATGTTCCCTCTTTATTACCGCCAAGCAATA